CACTCGAAAGCTGTCTCATGGACAGGTTCTGCGTTCCTCCTTTTATTATGTCTTCATAGATTAAGTGGAGAAAAGGGCTGAGGATGATTCCAAGTGTGTCATTTGCCATTTGTAAGCTGTTTCTGTGAACCCGGGTGTTGTTAAAGGAGCTCTCTGTGCCAGTGAAACAGGCCATCCTCAGGCTACGAACAAAAAACAAATGCATTAGAGCGATCGCAGCAACATTAAGAGACGTCAAATTTAAAGCTTGATGAGACAAGAAAAAGAAGAACGTGCCGAGGAGCGATGCAACATAAAACAGACCTAGAGCGGTGGATGATCGCAGGATCCTTTCCATGGTAGATAACAAAAGCATTTCTACATGAGGCCTGCCATCCAAGAAAGACTTTACAGGGAACAATCTGATATCCAACATATTAGTGCATAATCTGCAAACCAGTGATCACTCTCGAAATTAGAAACCAGAATATATTTTGCCAAAATAAATTAAAAAGCTCTGGCACTGTTACTTAGAGAAATCAAAGTAAGACGGGAAGATCAATCTATTGCATGGACATGCATGGCTTCCAGCTTCCAGTGAGTCAGTGGACTGACCAAAAACATACTGTAAAAGCAACACAGGAGTCTTTGATGGAAAACAAGTGGTCTGATCTGAAATCAACTGAACTACAGTTCACCTATTTAAGGTAAAACTAAAGGCATAAACAACTGATGACAGCTGCAGTAAAAGCCTTTCCCTACAACAAGGAGCTTTGTTAAAAAGTAAGGACAGTAGAAGAAGACAGCACCTGATGGTTTTGATCATGCTGAGGCCCATTTCCACGCAGCAGTGGGCGTGGTCCGGCCTAGGCTCCGGCAGACCAGACACACAGTAGTAACAGTCTCCAAGGATCTTTATTCGTAGACAGTGATGCTCCTGCAACAGACAAACACCATAACCATAAAGGCAGAAAACCTAAGCAATGACTATACCTGAAATAAGAATTAGAGATCAGTAGAAATTAGAAAAAAAAGGAAAACACAGAAAACATATCAGGTTATCTCTGAATTCCTTCTCTGACTGTGAAATTGCGACCGGCCAAGCGTGACAGTCTGAAATGTTCTGCAATCTAATATCAGCTGAGTCGTACACAGTGGATGTTGAATCAGATATTCACTGTGTTGTTTTGAATAAATATTTATTCTACTGGAGCGTCTTTATTCAGTTTTCATGAGTCCCGACAGCCATGAGAGGCTGTCGCAGAAGAGATGAGCTCTGGGCTCCACAATCATACACGCACAATCAAACAATGTGGAAAAAGAAGAGCTGCAAAGTCTATTCTTATGCTTCATTTTCAGTAATTATTTTTATACAACTGGGAAAATAGTTTTTAGTGATAGCCTGCCACACAGAAGCAAAAATTAAAGAGTTTATGTTACCATTTATGGTGTATGTGCATGTATTTTTAACCAGCATCTTGAATGGTACACTCTATTGCCAGAAGGTGGCAGTAAAGGAGCTGAGAAGCTATCCTTGCAATTCCTTACCAGCTAGCTAGCAAGATGCAAGTCTGCCACAACAATGCAGCTTA